TTACTATATAGAGGAAGGTTAACTAGACCTCCTTACACTAAATAAACCTACTAGCTACTTTATATAAGTAAAAGATAATCCTATATATACTATATAAGTATAAAAAGACCTTATAAAGATACCTAACGCTAAAAAGGAAATATATAATACTATTATTATTAATAATAAACTACTATAATAATACTATAGTTACCTATAAAAGAACCTAATACTTATGTTTTTTATAGAGATATAACTTACTATAACTATAGTATTTTTAACTATAAAGGAAAAAGTAGACTATATACTTACTATTAAGCTATATAAGAAAAGGATTATTACTACACCTAGTAAACCCTTTAAAGAATCTAATAAGGTAAAAGTAAAAGCCTTTATTAACTATAGTATATTTTATATTATTACCTATAATAAGAAATCCTATAGTAATACCTATATATTTAAATTATATATAGTCTATAAAGTAAAAAGTAAAAATAAGTAGCCTTATAAGAAATTATAGCTTATTATCTAAGGCTATATAGATAATAGTAAAGAAATAATTCTTATATAGTTACCTACTATTTAGTAAATAGCCTAGTAATTAATACTTACTTTTACCTCTTTACTACTTTAATATAGATTTTTCCTCTAGTTATATAATATTACCTAAGTGTATACTTAATTAGTAATACTACTAAATTATATTATTTTTACTTATTTACCTATATAAATTTACTATTTTTACTTAGTAAATATAATAATAATAGTAACTAAGCTATTATATAGTATTATAAAAGTAAAAACCTACTAGTAAGTAACTTATAACTACTATTATAAAGAAAATCTTTAAATAAATTTATTAACCTTTAACTTTTACTTATTAATATTATTACTTAATAATAGTAACTTTAAATTAATTAGTATATAAATAAATAATATAATTAGCCTTATAAATAGTAAATTCTTTACCTATAAAGAAAAAAAGCTTAAGAAGGCTACTTTTATAGTAAAACCTAAGTAGTTACTTATAGCTAATAACTTTATTACCTTTAATAGTAGTATATTATCTATTATTACTAATAGTAAGCTTACCTTTTACTAAAAAGGCTAAGGCAAAAAGCTTTAACTTATTAATAAGAAATTACCTACTACTTAGTAAGATTATATCTAGTAATACACCTATAGTGTATATATTACTTTTATTTATTAACCTAAAGCTTACTTTAACTATTTAGTTATTACCTAACACTAATTACCTATAGTAAAGGAGATTAAAACTTTAAACTACTAAATTAAATAGTAAATTAATAACCTTAACTATAGCCTATAATTCTTACTAATTAACCTTATAACTACTAAGCTTTTTATATTTATTAATAGCTTATTTATAAATAACTATAACTTTATTTTTTAACTTAGCTTTATTATAGTTTTTACTAATAAATAAATTATTAAGTAACCTACTACTAATAGTAAAAGCTTTAAGTTAACTAGTAATATTATTTACTTTAGTTTAATAAAGTATAAGAGAGTTATATATAGTATATTTACTTTTAAGGTCTATAAGATAATTACTAGCACTAGTATTACTTATATAATTAGTACTACTCTTATAATAATTACTAACTACCTTAAACTACTATAAATACTTATAATACTTTATACTAACTTATACTTACTTTATAAGTGCCTTATAAAGCTTAGTACTATAAAAGAGAAGTAACTTATAATAGATATTATAGCCTTTTACTAGTTATATAAACACTATAAGATTTTTAAGATATAGTAGATTTATAGTAGTAATAACTTAGTAAATAGATTTATAAAGTTATTACTAAATAATATATTAAAGAAGCTAGTTAGTAATAAGTAGTTAAAGATATAGATAAATAAATAGGTTTCTTATATATAATAGACTATATAAGTAAAAAGTATTAAATATTTTTTAGCTTTTTATTTTTATTATATTTTTTAGCTATTCTTTTAGATATAAATAATTAGGGATTTCTAGCACTATAGAAAGTTACTAGTGTTATAATATTAACTATTATAGATAAATATTAGAGTTATTAGGTTAACCTTAATAACTTATTACTAGTAAATTCTTAGATATTTAGCTATAGAATTCTCTAGGGATTTATAGATAATAAGTTAGTTATTTAACTAATTAACCTATAATAGTTATCCTTCTTTTTTTTACGTATAATAGAGAACCACAGTTACCCTTATTCTTTGTTAATTGCCACTAATACGTACAGTTAACTATATTAACCTATCCCTTGGTGTTACCAACAATTTGCCTTTTGGCCTAATCGCTTATGCGGTATCCCTGAGTACCACAGACTGCACTATCGTGTCATTTACTGTTCCAACCAAACTCACAATCCCCACCTCACATGCTCACTGACATCCCCGCGCTTCTATGCTTGGTTAGGTAAGATTATTTATTCGCATAATTTACAAATGGAATTCATATTTTTATATACCAGTAAAAGCGGAACTAGGCACCTTTTTCAATGTTCTTACGTTTTGACACTTTGTTGACTTTGAACGCTAAAATTTCCTTGAAGAGCTGTTCTGAAAAGGGTGAAGTGATATGTTCCAGCGCACTTCGACCCCCATATCATTGACAGTCAGTCGCCTTGCCTTACGAATCAAGCCGGTCCTCTGATAAGTATGTTTTCTGTTCAAACATCAAAGAATGCTGTGGGGGTAATGGTGTTCTGGATCAGCATTTAGATCAGTAGGTAGTTTTAAACCCCTTAGATACTTGACTGAATGTTAAATCGCGGACCCATGTTTCTAATCCTGTCTCATTCTGCTCAAAAGTGAGTGCTAAACAGGTGCTTATAGAGCTAGTAGGGGTGTGGCGATGGGATGACATATCATATCGATAATCATGTACCATGAGAGCGGCCACCACGTTCATTGGAAGCTGGCGATAGAACACATATAGGGGATGACATTTGGAACGTCCATGATAATTATCACTTCCAATTGGTCCTTATTCTGGATAGGAAGGGGTCCTCTTGCGCATAGAATCTTCAGTACTCATCTGATTCATTGTAGAAACAAGGAACACTGCCTAATTAGTCTTAAGTCAACATACAATTAAGTTCCATCTCAGGGAACCAAAACGATACCGCCTTGTTTCTTTCGTAGAGTTTTGTGCACTCGACTCACGCTGAAACTCCAAACTACTAGAAGCACCGTTTTTTGTGCCATTTTATACTGTCCCAATTGAAAAGCAACTGGCGCCAGTGACCCGACGTCTTTCACATTTCTATAATTCACCCGGGCATCTCAGTCATACATAGAACCACAAGCACTGCCCTGCTCAACTCTGCCAGCGCTGAATATTCAAAACTGCGATGACTGAGAGATTATTTATGACATTGGAAGGCACAAATGGCATATTAAATCTCTATCGTCGTCAGCGGTGCGCCATACTGTGGCTACTATCAAAGCTTTTCCATCTTTGATCAATGGATTTCTAGCCGACCTAGACTTCGAGGCTGTCTACTATATCTAAGCGACAATAACAAAGTTAAGAAAATGAAACCTCGAACTGGGACGTGATTTCGGTGGCCCGATGACCACTAGCAGGAAGCACACAATGCCAAAGCTCCTGGAAACGAAAAGGCAAACCACGAGGTGGCAATGAGAGAGAGGAAACAAACAAGTGTAAAAGTTGGGCCGCTGACTACAGGCTAAATGGAGTTTTCAGAAGCAGAAAATCGTAGAAGCAAAATAATAGATGCGAATTTGGAGCCCACCTATGGCCTCCACTACGTCAGTTTTCCAACGTCAGGCCTGATCACAGGACATCTATTCGATACACCATCACCCAGTCTGTGCCAATCGAGATACCATGTTTCTTTTTCAAATACAGGATCGATCGGAAACGTTTATCCGAATATTGGCAGCAGCAACAAACACGTTTTCGCCCACGACACAGAGGTAAATTTCCCGTTGTCATCAAGGAGACTCGGGTGGGCGGGCATACATCCTAGATGAATAGCTAGCATGCTTGTTCTGAAAGCCCCCAATGGACCTTATCTTTGGTCCTGATGAGATGTGCCCGAAAGTTGGTAGTCATTGATGTTCGCTTCCACCCAACTTGAGCTACGTTGTACCCCACCGGCCCTATTCTGAAAGAGCAGCTTGCGATGCTCGGCAAGCTCCACTGCGTCCGGCCAACGGTTCGCGGGCCCCCATCGGCTAGTCCGAAACTGACTTAACTCTCCGAGAATATGTGCATGAAACCTCGATCGAGCCACTGTAATAGGTGGGGAGCTATAAGTATAAGCTTAAACCTGGCATTCGAGATGACCTGATAGTGGAGGGACACGCTGGTTTGGGAACAGATTACGCAAGGTCCCCACGAGACTGTTGAGGTGCGGAGTCGAGGTTTTTAATATTCAGTATTCAGCTTGGCGTGACTGAGTATCAAATGCAGACATGAGCAGCTTGAAGGCTAAAGTCATTGCCATCACCGGCGCGGCGTCGGGTATTGGAAACGCTACGGCGAAACACATCGCCTCTCTTGGCGCGCGGGTGTCGATATCGGATGTCAATGAGGAGCTTCTCTCCTCCGTTACGACAGAGCTCACGGGCCTCTACGGTGCAGAGAACGTTTTTTCCAAGATTGTCGATGTGCGGGACCGAAAGGCGGTAGATGCGTGGATCGCCGAGACAGTCGAGAAGCTCGGACCGCTCGACAGCGCGGCCAATGTCGCCGGTGTCCTCGGACGGCAGGCGGCTGACAACTTACCAGTGGTGCGATTGACACGCCAATCTTAAGAAAGTCATTGGAGACCGCGGAAACGGGAGCGGATGTCTTCCCGGCGCTCTTGGGGAGGATTGGAGAGCCCATGGAAGTTGCTACGACGATCACGTTTTTGCTTGGAGAGGAAGCGTCGTACGTGACGGGTCAAGCTTGGTTAGTCGACGGAGGGTCATTGCCATAGGGGCTGGGGGTGAATGAGACCATAGGAAATGAGTTGATTGCACTCCGAGTCCCTAGTAGTCGGTCGGTACCAACGTCACGTCCATGTCAACTTTGGGCAAGTCGTATGTGAGGGCGGCTACGAATTTACTTGTGCCGAGCCAAAAATAAGACAGTTATTCCATAATCGACGTTTTGGAATCATTGATCGACCTAATTTTGAACTACGTGCTGACTGTACTTCCGAAGTGTTGTATGCTGGTTGTCGAAGAACGATTGGTTCGGCTTATCGGCGAAGGATCCGTGGGATTCAGGCGTTCCAGTAGGCATTGGCCTTGACTGCTGGTACGCTAGCATCTGATATAGCCCGAGAACGAGAACTTTGGTGCGATAAGACTGGCTGGCATGGATGTGAGGTGCAGGTAATGAGGTGGCAACGATTGAGACCCCCCCCCCCTGCGAACGACAGTGAAGTTATTGGGTCTAGCCATAATGGGTCCAAATAGACGGTATGAAGGGCAAGTAAATCCCGTCGCCAGCTCTGGCTAATCTGCTACCAAATGGAAACACATCAATCCAAGCATATTCATATTCCTGCCCCTAATCCTATTCTTAATCCTATCTCCAAATTTAATCTCCAGTCCGACTCCTAATCCATCCCCATCTAAATCTTGACCTCCACCCTACTGACTCATGTAATCGCTTGTTTCTATTTTGCATAACTAGTAGATTTTCTATATAGATTTCAGGAAATTAATAATTATAGTGTTAGTAAGTAGAATAGGATTTAGTGGCGTGTTAGCCAGAGCACACCGCTTGTAACTAATAACAATACTTTCTCTTAACTACCCTGTGTTTACTGATGTCTAGATCGATGTAAACGACTCAAGAGTATCCGGGTTATTTGCCACAAAAGGCGGTGGAATAGAATCATGTCACATCAAACCAAGGTGATTACTTGTACCAATGTAATTCATTGAATATCTCAACAGTTAGGTTAGGTAGGATATCTAGCAAGCGAGTTTCCAAGGTGGTGTGGTATCAAAGCAAAAGTGTGAATATGAGTATTATGTATAATGGCCGCTCCTCTTTTTCTAGCCTCCGGTTAACCAACCGGCAAACAAGCGCATTCTTATAGTGACGTTGAGATGATTTGAGGTGTTTAAGGAATCCTTAGACGGTCTTCTCGGGGAGGGAGCTGTCGGCGGAGCTGCCAGGGACACCGTCGTGGCTGCTCGGCGAAAGGTCGGAAACGTGGCGGGTGACTTCGACGTAATCGTAGGCAAACTCGCCGAGCTGGCAGTCGTCGAGGCCGAGATCCTCATCGTCGGCGTTGACACGGAGGCTGAGGCCGGGAATGAAGTTCATCAGGAAGAGGATAAGGGACGTCAAGACGAAGGACCAGGTGAAGCCGGCGACGGAGCCAGCGAGCTGGTAGCCGAGCTGAACATAGTTGTGCTCGATCCACCCGCCAGCAATCGCGTTCTCGCCAGTGTAAGCACCGTCGAGGGCAGTAATGTAGGAGCTGTGTTGATGGTTAACGAGACCGAGGGACACGAGGCTGTAGCAATGGAAAACTTACGCAGCAAAGATACCGGTGAGGATGTTGCCGGCCATACCACCGATGCCGTGGACAGCAAAGATGTCCAGACCGTCGTCAATACCGAGCACGAACTTGAGCTTGGTGCCGAAGTTGCAAACAGTGCCACCGACAATACCGAAGATGACGGAGGCCCAGGGGGTGACGAAACCGGCACCGGGTGTGATGGCGACGAGGCCGGCGATGGCACCGGAGCAGAAGCCAATGGTGGACCACTTCTTCTCGAGGCGGTAGTCGAGCAGCATCCAGGTAACACCGCCGACACCGGCGGCGAGGTTGGTGTTGAAGCAGGCCATGACGGCGCGAAGGTTAGAGGCAAGGGCGGAGCCACCGTTGAAGCCGAACCAGCCAACCCAGAGGAACACGGTTCCGAGGACGACATGGGTAACGTTATGGGGGCGGTAGGGGAGGCCGTGGACTTTGTTGTAACCGGTGCGCTTGCCCAGCATCAGAGAGTAGGCGAGGGCGGCGGCACCGGAGGAGATGTGGACGGGGGTACCTCCGGCGAAGTCAAGGGAGCCGAGGGTGAACAGCCAGCCGTTGGAGTTCCAAGTCCAGTAGGCAATGGGGTCGTAGACAATGGTGGCCCAGATGAAGGCAAAGACCATGGCGGGAAGAATGCGGCCGCGGTCGGCAATGGCGCCCAGGGCAAGCGCGGGACTGGAGGTTTGTTAGTTACCGAGTATCAACGGGTGCATGTTGTGATTTGCAGTTGACCAGTTGGGACTCCGCCCTCCCATCTGAACTCGAACAGACGGCTTATCTTTCATCCTTGAATCAGGAGGTGGGACTCACGTAATAGCAGCGAACATGCCCTGGTACAAGCAAAAGAGAATGTCCGGAATCTTGCTGGAACCCACGGAGGGTTGAGCGACGACATCCTTGAGGCCAAAGTTGGACATGTCACCAAGGAAGACGGAGCCGGTGTGGGAGAAGGTCAACGTGTAACCCCAGAAGAACCATTGGAAGCCCACCACTCCGACGCATATCATCGACATCAATATCAAGGACAGCGCTGACTTCCGGCGAGCAAGGCCTGAGTAGAAGAAACCGACACCGGGGATCATGAGCAGCACAAGAGCTGCGCAGACCATGATCCATGCCAGGTCACCGGACTATTTCCTTTCAGTTAGAAGCGCACACGGAAGCGAGCCTGCGGAAAGCCACTTTCAACCCACCTCATAGAAGACGTTGAGGTCTTGAACCCCAGAAGAGTAGCCGGCATCGGCACTCCCCTCCGTACCATTGTACGGAAGCGCGTAAAGACCGGCAGACATGATAACGGTTGCGTACCGACGCGTATGTGGTCAATGGGGCTGAGCTGCGCGCGGTACGGTGCGTCCGGAGATCTTCCACTTTCGCAGGGGCAAGAGTGCTCAGATGCGGCGAACAGACGTCGAAGGCTGAGGTACTGCAGGGAGAAGAGGAGGGAAGGAAGGGAGGGAGACGCACAGCCGCGATATGTGCGCCGGGAAGCCAAAGGCTAAATAATCAGAGGGAGCATGGGCGTTCCATTGAGGACCGAGGCCAAGAGGGCACACTGTAGTAGGTATCTGTGGATGGGTCCGGACAGGGCAGGGATAGGCCGCCCAGACCGCTGGTGCGGGTAAGATTGGAGAGTAGTGATCAACTGGGGCGGAGGAAACTCATTGCCCAGCTCTGTATTACTCGTTCGTCTGGAGCACCAATGGCGCAAAGCCAAAGGGTGGGGAGTAAAGCATAAAAAAAGGATGAGATGGATTCGGGCTGCAGACAAGGAGGAGGGGGCAGAGCCATGTCTTGGAAAGACTACTGGTACCCAATCCTCCAGTGTAGACAAGACGGGCATGCTCCTCTGCTGGTGTGGTTGCCTGATGCGGTGGTACGAGGTTGGCTGGTTGCTTAGAGCTTCATCTGAAGGGTCTACCCAATCCACGTCGATGAAGTTGTACCGATTGTGTGCACCACATGCTTCCTGACCCCATGTAGGTACAGATGCCCCCATGCCTCCAGGACCGGTGGGTCGCCGGAATATGTGGACACTGATAAGGAATTTGGAGACAGGCCATGGTGGGATTCGGCTTAAGGCTAATTCGAGCCATTAAGCCGGGTGTCTTGGCAGAACTTGCACACCAAACGTTTTCCTCCGTTTTCCGATGGGTGTTCCGCATTGTCGAACTCTCGAGAGGCTGGTCAATTCTTCATGCTCGACCTCCAGAGACCGAGTTACTTGAATGGGCAGAGGAACGTGTCAAGACGTGGCTTGAACTTTGCTGATCACCTGTTGCTGTTGGTCCGTCCAAGGCGACAAAGGCCAGATGATTCTGGAGGATAGCCCCTCCACCCGTCGCATATTGACGTTGGACGCTGCATGCTCGGCCGGGACAACAGTTTTCCAATCTCCCACAACGCCCGCTGTGCGACGTGGTCCAGACGTGTTGGGGCGGACATCTCTGGAACCGAGACAGCCAAGCCTGCAGCGAGCAGGCGATCAGGGCAGTTCGAGATGAGGGCAGTGTAGGAACAACGGCCTGCGGCGCTGCGGAAACAATACGGGAAAAACGCATCCAAGAGGCACAGTCAGTTGCCAGCGTTTCATTAGCGCTGCCCAGGTCGTACCCATGGTCTCCGGTCGCTTGGCTTGGTCGAGGCCGGGTGGGGACGGTTTCCGGCGGTCACAGGCATGGGCGGAACGGGACAGATGCCCCCTTTGGTCGACCGGTGGTGTGTTTTAGAGGTAGGCGAAGACAGCTTCTCCATAACATGCTGCTGCTGCTGCAGATGAGGGACGTGCCTCTAATGATAACTTGCTGGTGCAGCTTGCAGGTGTATTGTAGCCATACCGGCTGGCAGCTCCGTCGGGGCCCAGGACGCTGGCCAAGACGCGGCAGGTCTTCCGAGGATCAGGTTGCGCGTCAGTGAGCTCTTTGTGCGTTCCAGAAGGCTGCCAGGTAGAGACGCGACCGTAACCAATTTGCAGAGGGACACCGATGGCTATGCCTGCTTGTGAAACGACGCACGCTCAGAATGGCAATGGTCAATGGTACATATATAGCGCACAGCCCCTCCCCAAGGCTTCACCAAGCAGCAGGTGAGGCGCTCGTCGTGGGTGGTCTGAGGAGCGGGTGATCAACATGTTGGCGAGCAAGCCGCAGCACCGGCTCGTATCCTTCACATGGTAGCTATTTCCCCCCAGATCAATACAAATCTTGAATTTACTTGATGCAGCCGCGGGGCGGTTGGTGATTGCTGCGGTCCACGGATTCTAATCAACCCGCCGTTGGGGTTTGACGAAATTAGCTTAGCGCGCTATGTGTGTGTTTGCTGCAACGTCGAGGTTAAGTTGAAGCGTGTCGCCATGATCGGAAAGCTTTCTATCCCCGCCCAAGATACCCACAATGTGTTGTACATGCGCGGGAAGAAGAAAAGCAACGGCTCCAGCTAGTACCTACCGTAGATGATATGCCGCATCTGCGATGACACGAAGATAAGGGGAGGGCGTCAAAAGAAGAAAACCCCATGTCGCAGATGGATGGTCATGGCGGAGAATTGTCAGTCGTGTTTCGCAAATGGTCCAATCCGTCGACAGCTTTTGTTGGTGTTGAAGGAAGTGTCGGCAAACGCTAAAGAGTGGCCGCTACCTTGTTATGAACGCGCCACTTGGCGAAAGTGTTATTAGCGATGTTAGTGGCACAGACGGTTATAGATGGATCGCTAGCCGCCAACCGTATTCCCATGGCGAGGTGGTCGGAAGGCCTCCGTCACGGACGGGAGAGCCCCCGGGAAAGTCTGCTTTTGCTTGTTATATGTAGTAGACGTGTTTGCGCCGTAGAGAAAAAGAGCAGAAATAGAAATCTATTAGGTCCACCAATAGATAAGGCGGCAGTTAGTGTTGGCGGGAAGGCTGAATGTAAAGGTAATGCGAGTACCTAAGAGTAGAGCGATGAATCTGTATGTTCATAGATGCAGCACAACCAACACTTGTTGAGGATGGTTTGCAAGCCAGGATTACACGGCGGTGCTCGCGGGGTGGGGGCTCGATGGTCGGGCCGCGATGGCTATAATTTCCCTATCGATAGACGAGGTCCCTCGCCGAGGAAAGATTTGGAAAGTGATTTGAAATCGATAGCGTATTTTAGTATCGTCTCTGCGCGTTAATTATAAGAATCTCGCGGGGAAGCATGGAAGCATGCCAAGCAAGCCCAATGACGAGCTGACAAACGGGCCAACTGCGCTAGAACACCCTGGATTGGACGGACTATCCTCAGAAGACTATATGCGATGTACTATATGTCGTCATTTCCATCTGCCGACCTATCTGGGTAGGTAGCCAGTCATCGGACATCGTACATGCTTCAACATATGCGTCTTTGGCGTTGCCGGGTGGGGGTGTTCTGCCTGTGAATGCTTCGATTCAAGAGCACAGGCATAGCGTGATCGTACACACTTTTCACATATGCGTATACCCCGACATACCAGGTGCCTCTACGGAGTACGATGTACAGTACGGAGTACGCAGGCACATAGGTCACCTAGGTAGGTAGATAGGTAGCATATGGCTACGTACCCTTGTACCGTGGGCACTCAGCAAATTCGGAATCCGCACAGACCATACGCTAGTCTTGTCATAGAAGGCGGTCAACTGAATCATCCAATCGCCCACTTACTCGCTTGCCCATCTACTTGACCGCCTTCCGTACTGGGCTAGTATGTGGTCTGTGCAGTTTTAGAATTTACGGTATTCGTACCATTGTAGGTATCCGTACCGCTGGCCCAAAGGAAAGCAACAATCGGATAGGATGGAAGTCGGTCCGTCCATTTGGAGAAGCTGCCACCCGGTTAAAGTATCATCATTGGTCGACGTTTCTTATCTCTGCTAGCGGCATCTTGGCGCTGATAAGGCGAGGACGAAGGTCAAAGGCAGGGGACCAGCTACCCTGACCCGGGCATGTCGGGCATGTCTTTCATCGAACGTCTTTCCCTTTTCGGCCTGTCTTTCCACGTCTGCCGTTCCATTCTAACGGTCGTCTCATTTCCATAGGTACCTCTAGGAAGGTACGGAGTACTTTTATTATTAAGAAGCCCCCTCGTGTAAAACTAGTCTTTTGGTTCATCATGCCGCCCTCCATCACTCCGTACCATTGGCACAGTTTACTGCAAAAAATAAGAATTAAAAAATTAAAAAAAAAATTTAAACAAATTCAGGCAGCTCATCTATACTAAAATCTTCGTCACGTTGTTGACAGACCTGTATCTTCCAGGCCTCTCCGCTACCGGAGGAGGTCCATCCACTTGGAGCCTGTCCAATTTAACGTTGCGCTAGCGGCAACTAACTACTGTTGCCAAAGAAGACGGCTATAGCGGCTTCTTTTTGTCATGTCGATATCGGAGACATGTCGCTAGATATCCACAAGATAAGGCTGCATCCACTGATTAGCCTGAATCGTCCTACTTCCTCCCTCTATCTTTATTCTGCATCAGCCCTGTCTGCTTGCTATCAGCTTCTTCATGCTGTCTTGAGGGTGTAGCAGGAACAGGACCACTACTCAGTCCCTCCCCCGCTTCCATTGAAGTCCCGTTTCTGTCTTTTGGAAGGCTTGGCGAGACAGGACAAACTTGGAACATTCTCGTGTATTCTCTTCGTTGGCTCCAGAGTCCAGCAAACTGAGGTTCGAAGCGTGCGATCGTCGTTCGTCTAGCCAAACATAGGTAGACGTGTCATGTTGGCGAGCACGACCTCTAGAGGGTGACAAGGCGACCACTCGGAAGCTTTGATTAGAGTTTTTAGATCCCATCCGCTCATACTCCCGTCGTCCCGTGGCCATGGTTCTGTCTCGCTGCCCTGCATTTTTGCGGGCGTTTCTTCGCCCATTTGCTAGCCTGACTCGGCGCCTAACCGCCTATTATCCACTCATCCCAGCTGTAGTGTCGTGGCGACGGCCGCTCTCCATGCACGTGCTTGCGGGCGCAACCAGCAACTCATCTATATATTCACGTCTGCACTCCGTCCATGCCATGTCTGTCAACACTGTCAACAGATATCTCTGGTGTTTCGACACAACCAAGGGCCATTGTTGTGAAGATCGGCTTCCATTTGAACACCTCGTTCTCCTCTAGAACTACGTGTCTACGACATCAGCAGTCGGCCAACGAAGAACTAGTTACGACGAGATATTGAGAACCGAATCTTCCAGTCAGGCTAGGGGTGGCTTATAGCCAGATTATAGCCCTTCCTTCATCATCCCAACTCCGTATAATTGCCTCAACACACGTACGCCCACATGCAGCAGCCCTAGACAAGGTCGTGATGCCTTGAGTTGTGAAGTGCAAGAGTTCTGGCCTCTGGCCATGTCCACGGTACACTGGACACTAGAAGTCCATTGAAGAAAACAGAAAACGAAATCGACTGTCACATCACACCCTGATCAACGATTCCAATCTCAATTAATACATTCTTCCAGTCATTTTTCATCACGCCATACTCTTGATGAATTCATCAAGCCTCCTATCGACTTGCTCCATCACGGAGTGTTCTGCGAGGGCGTTTTAGAGCCTGGACTGGACATCGCCTCTCTTGTCCGCCTTGAAATGTCTGTATTTGTTGTCGATTGCTGTTTTGACAAGTTCTTCGACTTTCTCTTGGCTTTCAGACCTTCCATGAATGATCATAGTTGCCTGGGTGTGGAACGAGAAAGCGAACTCTGTCGGGCTTTGACGATATGCTGCTTTACGCGCTCGCACTGAGACTCTTGAACATTGATGAGAATGGATTTGAGCTTCCCTTTACTCAGGTATCGGGATTGTATCTCAGGGTCATCGAAGTGCGTTTCCATGAAGGCAGTCTCGTGCAAGGGAGTGTCGTCGCCTCCAGAACCAGCTTGACGCTCGCTATCCCCTATCTCGTGCTCTGAATCGAAGCGAGCCAAGGGGTTCATTAAATTGGACTTTGTTATTCTTAATATAATGGGCTTTGCTTTCCTCGGTGGCCAATCCAAGAAGTTGACTGTCATCCGGCTGTTCCAGGTTTCCAACATGAGCAGCTCCCAGCACAGTGAGTCAGTCAGGATCGAGAGTTGCAGAATATTCTAGTGCCTAGTCCGCTT